CATTTTAGCACAATGCAATAAATAGAATTTTCAAGAAAGAGGAAATAATCTTTGGGTCAAAATGACCGGAACACAACATGAGGGTAAAGTGATTTTGTATGTTTGTAGTGCCCTTTGGTTTGGCTTCCTTTAATTGAAGAGCACTGGGCTTCCAACAGTCCCATGATTTATTTTCACTTTTTATTATATGAGGTATTTAAGGTTTTATTAAGTTATCTCAGTTATTTGTCCATTTTATCTACCCACAAAAAGCAGCTTGTAAAAGCAGTTTCAGTTGGACTTTGCCATATAAAGCACATACAGCATGCCATATGTTACTGCAGTATTTGTGAAATGTTTCTCTTTCTGTAATGTAATTCTTTCACTCTTTGAAACCTAGGTGTTTCTTGTTGACCTGTGAGCTTTATTCTGCCATGCTGTACACATATAGATGTCTATATATTATGTCAGAGCACATGTCAAGGTTGTGCATTTCAAATCATACGTTCCACCAGAGAATATAGCGGTCTGTCAGACGTTATAATAGACAGGGGCAAAGATCAGCTATTGTTCAGTAGAAGTGATTTATCGCATTGTTGTGTCAAAACCAGTCATATTATCCTAGATATTTTAAAACCTTTAGTCAGGACAGACCAGATGCCTGCTGCTTTTGACACTTCCCTGTCTGCCTTTTACTCATACGTTCACTTTAGACCCAATATGACTTTTGTTTTCAAAGCTGATGAATAGATGTAGTGTAGTCACAGTATGGGTGTGGATTGTGAATATTGTTTCTCGTTTGTGTGGATTGTGTTGCTTGATATGCAGAAATTTACCATGCTTGGTAGTTTCTCACAGCCCCCCCGACGTCACTGCTGCTGTGTGAAATTAAAACTGCCTGACTTCAGTCTGAAAGAGGCTAATCAACACCACCCATGACCGGGGTAGATGAAACAGCTTGTCTCCTGTCCCATAAGCTCTGTCTTCTGTTCTGTCTCAACCCACAATGAGGAAAGAAGAAAAAAAAAAAGATTAATTACCCACATGTATAAGCCTGCTGGAACTCTTTCACATAGTGCATACAATTACATGGGAAAATAAATAATTATAAGAACAGCCATTCTTGACGGAAAGTTGCTGAATTCTGCATTGCTCTTAGAAAGGAGAGCAAAGCTTTTCCTTGTCAACATATGATAAAAATTGACCTGTTTGATTTTTTTACTCTTGTGAAAAATAAGTGTACTTAATTGTATTGAATGTGCACTTGTAGTGTACTTCAAATCTTAAAAGTATTTTAAAAACTGTACTTGAGATAATATAATTATAAATTAAATATAATTAAAATAAAGATAATCTAAATATAATTAAATAGTATGTTTCTTAATACACTTATGTACACTTTCTAATCATGTTAAATTAAAAGTTTTACTTTAAAGTACATTCTAAAGTATTTTAATAATATTTTGTTTGTGTATTGATGTATTGTGCACTAATTTATTTGATGTATTGACTAACATACTAAAGTAACCGATTATAATTTAAACTGTAGTGTGTTATCTGATACACAAGTACGTTTCGTTTTTTGTCCTGGAAAACGAAACAAAAATATTTTTTTTTATTTTATTTTCCACAGTGCAATTCATTTTCAAAAGATATAACATATTTAAATGTAATATTAAAATTGAAATAATAGTTTTATTATATACAGGTAAAAATTAATATATACAGGTAGTGAAAAATTTAAGGGGGTCTGAATACTTTCCGTACCCACTGTATATCATTGACTATCATCGTAAATATCAGAAAAATTACTGCTTAAAACAAATATAAATGAGAAGTTGTCTTGTTAGCAAAGTTGTTTAATTAGCAAAAGCTGTTTATCACTTGCTTTGCTAGAAAAAAAGTTGTTGTTTAGTTCCTTGCACGTACGTGGTCGCTAAGCCAAATTAAGTGTCATTCCAATCGAACTCTGGTTGTGCCATTATATTTGTTGATATGTCAGCACAGCGATGCTTAACTGGGACACTTATTGATTTGCTGACCTCGATAAATGCTACTAACGTTTCATTTCCATTTGCACCTTGTTACCAAAAGCTTAGAGAAGTGTAAGTTCTAAGTGCAGGCTCAAACTGAGCCAAAATGACCAACAGTGTAATTTAAAGATTAAGAGTTGAATTGACCCCCCCCCCCCCCCTTTTTTTTCTTTCTCATTTTTTGCGGTG